AAAAGACATAAACAAAGACAATTTACTCAATAAAAGAAGCGAAATTTTCGGCAAATGTCGTCACAAAAACCGGTTTCGAGTAAACAAGGTCGTTAACAAAACCTAATGACCCAAGCATGCATTGTTTCACCTAAGCATTGTTTCGCCTACACGCATTCCGCACATTCTTTCAATAGCATAAAAGCAACCTACAATTTCGAAATTATTCACCACCTGATGATTCCTATACGGATGAAACAGACTGTTGTGGTTTTTTGAGGTAAAACGAAAAACTATATATATACTGTATATATATATATATACTGTATATATATATATATGCGCATGCAGTTCGTTTATTTGGACAAGAAGTATTTACTTACGTTGCGTTAATTTGAGTCGTCAGTCGTCCAGTAACTTGAACATTGAGAAGAACAGACTTTCCTTCCTCGACTGTCAGGTTTAGAGCGTTGCTGAAACTCAGTGTTAGCCCAACAACTATAACAAAATAATAAATATTGATCCCATCAATAGTCGTTATTAATTAAGTTAATAATAAACAATTATTGAATGAGGTCAATTGAGTATGATAGGGTGAGGTGGATAACACTAACCAATGCCAAACGAAAAGGGAATTCAATAATTGTTAAATTATATATTCCAAAGCTAGAAAGAAAGCAAAAGTTTCAAAATTCCTGCCAATTCGAATTCAATGGCGTCTTGAGTATAATTTCTTTCTTTTGTTGACTTCTTTGTGTTTTCGCTGTCGTTTCCAGTCAGTAACTTAATTTGAAATTTCTTGATCATTTAACGTTGCAAACCGGCTCAAAGCCATTTTGTTTAGCTTTTAAAAAGATGGAATTTTCACGCGCTCTTTAGGAAACAATGGACCGCGACGAGGCTTGGTAACCACAACTTGCAATAATACTTTTTAATAATACTACCAATAATGCTTGGTCTAAAAAGTATTATAGAGAGTTTACGATTAACGACGCGGCTAGAGAAAATGCGTTAGAAAGGCTTGGTAACTAGTGCGGCCTGCCTTGTGTAATTACCAGCATGAGCTCCACCTTTTAATTTACTATATGAGTAAATTCAATGGTGGTCAATTCCCTTTTCGTTTGGCATTGGTTTGTGTTATCCACCTCACCCTATCATACTCAATCTCCCCGCCCCTGCTGGCCGCGGCCAGCCTCCCTTTTAGTGACATTACATTTATAACAAATATGTCTTGTCTAATGCTTGTGTTTTTATGATTAACTCTATTGATAAATTCAAACTGTGCCGCGAATTTATCATATTGATAAATTCGGACGTGTTTAAGAATTTACTCATATAGTCGATTCAAAGGTGGAGCTCATGTTGGTAATTCCTGCAACGCGTCGTCGACGATTCTATCACAGAATTTTGTCAATTTGACGTTGTTGAACGATTAAACACCACAGAAAATGCGATTAAAGAAGGTAGCACAAGAGCAGAAGTTCATTTTCCATTTCAATTCGCTCTTTCAAAAACAAAAATTACAAAGATTTTGAAAAACCTATATAATAGTTCTAGCCAAACGTTTTACATTAGTTGTGTTTCGTAACGTCCGTTACGCGTCGGCTTGAGCCGCTCTAACGTGTCCTCTCTAGCCGCGTCGTCAATCGTAAACTCTCGATTTATAATATCGCCTGTGCGTAGTACCAGCGGTATGTTTATTTATTTATTTAATTAACTAAACGTAATATTTAGAAAAATAACTGCTATCAATGGGGGTCCTGGTATTATAAATATTTCGCCAAACACAAGCGTGATCTTTTATTAATACTTCCATCGAGAACAAGTGTAATTTCCTATTAATTTTATTTTAGTTCTGGTTTCAAAGTTCACTCTAATAACCGGTGAATATAATGACCGGTAATAATCAACTTTAAGCACAGTATAATAAGCACAGTATAAGTGAGGTGGTAATGTAAACGAAAAACCTCAATCCTTCACAAAATATATTGAGACTTGCGTATTTATCTATAAAAACGGCCGGCAAATCCATACAATAAGGAACTCGTCCTCCCCCCTCCCCCTTCAAAACAATGTAGACAGTTATTTAGGGGGGAGGGGAAAGGAAATCGTATCGTATTTACAATGTCTGAAAGAAATTTACAAAACCCACGTTCAGGAAGGCGTCAGTATATCTTATTGCCTACTCACAAGCCGATATAAATAAGTTCCCCACAAGAGAGAGTTTTGGTAAAATGCTGGAAAACGAGTTCAATGCAGGGACCAGCCAAGTTAAGGTGTCACACTGGGCCTGTTGTAAGGAGCCACATGAAGAAAATGGCTTTCATTATCATTGCTGTTTGAAGCTGACAGGGGTGAAAAAGTGGTTGCCAATTAAAAACGCTATCACAAAGAAATATGACATAGTGGTTAACTTCTCAGACCATAACCAATACGTATATGCGTACCGTTATGTCTGTAAAACTGACAAATACGTTTGCTCATAGTGACAATCATCGTGACTTTTCCGAAGTAGGATCTCCACGTACTAAAGCTTCAACTGTAGCTCTTCGAGAAGCGGGCCGAAAAAGAAGATCAACCAATACAAACTTGGGGCGACAGCCAGTCGTGAAAGAGGAATTCGAAACCAGAAAGACGGCGTCTTAGTAATCTTGAAGTAGGTGATTTCATTGTTGCTAACAGCATCACCACTGTGCGACAGCTATTTGCTAAGGCTGATGCTAGAAAGCAGGAGGGTGAAAGCGATCTCGCTAATTTCTTGTTCTCCCGAATGCAGAAAACCATTGTCGAGCTGATGAGCAAGTCGCTGAAGCAAGCGTCTTCAGAAATACGGCGAGACAAAATCAGAAGAGTCGAAAAAGTTAGGAATGCAGTGGAAAATGTATGCATTGATGGGTGCAACGGTAGTTGGCTTACAATTACAATTACAATTACAATTACAATTACAATTACAATTACAATTACAATTACAATTACAATTACAATTACAATTACAATTACAATTACAATTACAATTACAATTACAATTACAATTACAATTACAATTACAATTACAATTACAATTACAGTTACAATTACAATTACAATTACAATTACAATTACAATTACAATTACAATTACAATTGGCTTGAATTGCAATTACAATTGGCTTGAGTGTGCCATAGAAGCGCTTTCGATGAATGATATAGAATTAACTGTTTTTGCCTCGTACATATTTGGGATTCTAGCTCGAAGGTCCGGGGAAGTTCAGAAATCTGATGATCTACGGTCAAACCAACTGCGCCAAAACGTTTATTTTGAAGCCCTTGAAGTACATCTTTGATGACCGACTGTTTGACAACCCTGCGAATGACAAGTATGGTTGGATTGGTGCCGACAAGGCAGAGGTGATTCTCTTGCAAGACTTTCACTTCAGCGAAGAACTCCTCACATGGAAAGATCTCCTTCTCCTACTCGAAGGAGAGACGGTTAAGCTACCTGCTACCAAGAATCATTTTGCCAATAGTGCTGTCATATATTCTGATGCCCCGATTTTCGCAACGTCAAAAGCACCTATAGTGTACAAAGGGCCTTACAACGTGGAAGACGAGCGTGAAACAGACATGGTGAACAGTCATTACCTCCGCCAGGTACGTTTTATACGCCGAATTTCGGAACAACGGCTTGTGTTTGAGAAGAAAATGGAGATTTTTCAGCGTATAAGGGAATGGCGAATAGAAAACGAGCGATTGGGGCTTGTCGCTGATCTTTCGGATACTTGGACCCCAGAACAACGAGAGAGTTTTCTGTATGATTGACAAAACGACGAGCCTTTGTTACAGGTTGGTTGTGGACAAAAAAGATATTGTGATGAAATGAACGATGGCGCAATTTTTTTCATAAATAAACATACAGTTAAATATAAACTCTATATCATTGCTTTAGTTAGGGTTTGCAAGGATTCTGGGAGGATTCTGTAGGGCTTCTCTCGGGGTTGTGTGGGCGTTCTGTGGGGGTTCTCTGTGGGATCTACAGGGGTTCCGTGGGAGTTCCCTCGAAGTATGCGTCTTCGCATTTTGCTCATGCGTTTTCGCATTGAGTTCGCATGTTGCTCATGAGTTTTCGCATTTTTCGCATTTTGCTTCGCATTCTTCGCATTTTGCTTCGCATTTTTCGCATTAAGGCCCGATTAGGCCTGGTGGCCCGATAGAAGGTATGGCTTAATTCTAACGTGCATTTTTCTACAAGGAATAATGTTGCAATGAAACAAGGCACAATGCAGTTTTGATAAATATTTATTTCACATAAGCATTACATCGATTCATTGATCCTCATCACTCTCTGAAAACCGTCCTTGATCTTCTAAAAGCTGTTTCAACAGAAACTTTCTTTTATCAACCGCTGCTCATAAAGCTTCATCAGGATCAAACGAGTCTTCGCTCACAAATGTCTCCTTCGTTTTCATAATCTTTCTATGCACGGGATCCTTTTCAAGTGCTTTCATCCATCGTAAATTATCCACGTAAACGAATTCTTCAGGGAGAACGTTTTCAAAGGCTTCCTGCTTAGCTACACTTTCTTCTCGCCCATCCATTTGCAACGTTTTCATACATTCATCATACTCTGGTCGAACCGTCGCTGTTGCATTGTGAAAGGACATTGGCAATAAAAAATTAGTTTGTCTCATTCAAACGAACTCTTAAAATTATATCTTAAACTCTATTTACGAATTGTCATATCTTGCTTAGTTCTCGAAATATTTAGACCGACATTAATGAGCTTTCCGCCATCTTGGAAAAATTCTTTACCTCATTAACTATGCAGATGATATACATCATAGATTCGTGCATTGCCGTATGTTATATATCATCATATATGAAACGAGAGACGATGTTGAATTTGCTGTGGCACGATGAAACAATGCATTTTTCTGGTGCCAAATGGTGGGACGACATGCATGTATACCAGGCCTGTCAGCCTCTGTTTGTGATTTGACGGTCAAACACCAATTCTCATATTTTGTTTTCTGTAGGAAGACGATGATTTGAAGGAGTACGTACATTCGAGCAACCACCTTTCCTATGCTGACTGGTTTTGAGGAGGATCCTTTTAAGTTAAGTCCCCTTCTCATTTGCGTGGAAGGGAACGAACTGATGAATGTGACATTGTGTTCCTTTTCAACGACACTGCAATATTTGGAGTACAGAATTCCGAGGGCCAAAAAACTAATTTCCATTCAGAAATTTACGAAAGAACTTGAGCACTATATGAGTGCGGAATATATAGAAACAATTAATCACTGTTGACATGCTTGCATATATATGTAATGTATCTATATACCTGCAGTTACTTTTTAATACTTTCATTTTATCATTAGTGAAATAAACTAATCCATGTGTTTCTCGTTTCATCAATGCATTTCTTATGTTTATAGTTTATATGGGAGTATAACACTTACCCCTAAAGTGGGAAAGCGTTTAACTCCATAAAGCTGGGGTAATTTTTACCCCTAGAGCTGGAGTAAAATGCGTTTTGCACCCTTTCTAGGGGTTGAAATATTTTTCCCCCCAAAATGGGGCAAAAAGTTTTACACCCTTAACAGGGGTATTTTTTACTCAATTCTGTGGGGGTAATTTTTACACACGTTTTAATTCATTCAAATTCTACCCCCCAAATTTGATCATTCTGTGGAAAATGATCTACACCCCTATATTAAGGGTAATTTTTACCCCTTACAATATACAGTGTCGTTTTGATGACGTCAGGAGTTGAGTTAACCATATAAACTACTCTAAAATGATCGAATAACAATCCAAAATTGTTTGAAATGTTTTTAATCATTTCTAAATTTCTGACAGCAACTAGAAACGAAGTTTTGGTCTCATATTGATCGCTTACTCTCAAGATAAAAAATTAGCGTGACTCCTCTCTTGACGTAACATGTGTATCCTCAATAATCCAAGATGGCGAACAGCTCACTTTTTTCAGTCGAAATATTTTGAAAACTAAGCAAGATATAAACAATCTGTAATAGAGTTCAATATATAGTTTTAAGAGTTCTTTCAAATGAACTAAACTAATTTTTTATTGCCAATGTCCTTTAATTATGGTTGCCCAAGGGTCAATCTCATCCTTTATTTCACCATCATCTTCGGAATTCTCACTGTTTTCATCTTCCTCAGTTCCGTAACACTTTCTTCGTCTGAAAAAGAGTCCACACTTTGTTCATCTGAGTAGCTACTTCCTCTTTCTTCTTCCATCGGGCCCTTATCGTCAATGTTTGCGTATGCGCAATGGTTCGCTTTATGCCGCCTGACATTATAATAGGACGAAAACCGTTTCAGACATCGATCACACTGGTAAGAAGCCATGTATACTATACGCTTTCAGGAAATGAAAAAGAAAGTTGTAAGAGTGGTTACTTATATAGCCGATATATGCATGGTTTGCTCGTGGGACAATACAGGTGAAATAGTTTAAACACCATTGAGAGAGTACGCATGCGCATTTACTCCGGTTTTACTACTCTTATTATCAAAGACTACGGTGGCCTTTTTGACCTGTTTGGCCTCTCTCGCCCATGAAATAAACCAAAAATCAGGAGAAGACAACTCGTGCATCTGTTCTTTGAGTCATAGACAGAATCGCATATATCATTATGACATCTTATATATATATATATACATATATATATATATATACTTACATATATATATATATATATATATATATATATATATATATATATATATATATATATATATATATATATATATATATATATATATATATATATATACAAGTGAGCGGACGTATGTTTAAGTGCTTTAAGTGCTCCGTATAAATATTTTAAAGTGTGTAAACTTGGCGAGATATATCCTTTACTACAAAGACAAACATGAATATAGTGAACGAATTAACGTACGATGGCGAAATTTACCGATGGACTGGCTGTTTGAGCAAGTTAAAGACCTTTGTTGAGAAAACGCTAAACGCTAAAGGGACATGGACTTCACCCGGCGGCGACGTCAAACTTTTTAAGGATGATGATTCAGATCTAATTATTAAATGGTATGATCCTCGCTCCAAGAAACTTATAACCCTTACAGACAACTGCGATCACCCTTTAAAATTGAAGTTGGAATGTCGGGCAACGCTGGGTTTAAGAATTAAAGAGTCAACATTGGGTTTAGGAAGTAAAGAAACAACTAAA